CCCTAACTCAGATGCAGACATCCGATAAGGAGCCATCGACACAGGACTGGTGCCCGATATTACATCAATAGTAAACTCCACCTCATGCTCAGGAGGCAAGTCACTCATGTCGTCTGGAAACACCTCTGGAAATTCCCGAACAACTGGTAGCTCCACGCTCACTGCTTCATAATCAACTTGGAGTGATGCAAACAATGCAAACATCTGAGCCTCATCTTCTAATAGTTATTCTACTTGCTTGGCAGATACAAACGTCTGCTCTCCACCATCACCAAACTCTGGGAACCTCACAGTCTTGATGTAGCAATCAATATGAACATAGTTGTACTCCAACCAGTTCATTCCAAGAATAACATTAATTTGATGCAAAGGAAGACATACTAAGTCTATCACAAAATTCTTATCATAAATGGTCAAAGGGCAGCTCAAACAGACTAACGCAGTAGTCACAGAACTATTAGTCGGGGTATCTATAACCATACTCCCAATCATAGAGGATAATTTCAAATTCAACCTCTTAGCACATTCAAGCGAAATAAACGAATGAGTAGCACCAGTATCAACTATAGCAATCAATTCAACATTATTAATAAAACAAGTACCTCTGATCAAGTTATCTATCTTGGATTCTTCTGCACCGCTCAAAGCAAACACTCTGCCATTTATCTGAGTAGTAGTAGCAGTCTTCTTCGGCTGCTGACATTGGGTACTGATATGACCCTTCTCTCCACAGTTAAAGCAAGTCGTAGCTTCGTCTTTATAATCGGTAGCTCTATGAGCTCTCTTGCCACAACGATGACATCTCAGTGCTCTACAATTCTCAGCACGATGACCTTGCTCGCCACACTTATAACACTTGCCTGGAACAGTAGCCGCTCCCCCACTTGAATTTTTCTCATCTGAAGCCTTCTGCTTCCCTTTATCATCAGAAGTCACATGCGGTTTCCCTCTATGCTGACCTTTCTCTTTCTTCATACTCAGTTGCTTGTAGTGAGTAGATCGAGCTCGGCTATCCTCATCATAAATTCTGCTATTATCCACTAGTTCCACAAACGACGAATATGCCGGTACCTAATTCCCTGCTTAATCTCTGGTCTCAATCCATTCTCAAACTTAAGACACTTTGACATCTCTGCATCAGCATGATTGTAATGCGGGTAAAACTTTACCAAAGACTCGAACTTTGCCGCATACTCACCCACAGTCATATTCCCTTGTTTCAGATCAAGGAATTCCACCTATTTCCTTCCCCGAACATCTTCAGGAAAACACCAGCCCTCAGCTTCCTTTGCTAGCATATGTGTACCAAACTGCACCTGCTGAGCATCAGTGCACGCCATAAGTCAGAAAATCTTCTCAATCACTTTCATCCACTTATGCACACCTTCAGGATCATGAGTGTGCACAAAAGTCGGCGGATTGTTCCTCTGGAACTTTCCCAAAGCACGGAACTCATCTGGAGGTCCACCATTCTGAGCCATCACTTGGGCAAGTGATTCCAGCGCATCAACAATAGCACGACCATTCCTTCCATCCATCTGCAACCACCAACAGGATTAGAAGAAAACAACACATCCAATAGTGTTCTCACACTATTGACTGACAGAGGACTTACAACATAAAAACTTGGTCGGACGGACCGAGCAGGCTCTGATACCACTAATGTAACACACTTTTCTATCCCATAATTAAAAGGCACATTTATTCACATATATCAGAGTAAATTATTAAATTCAATAAAATTCACCACAAAAGAGCGTATATTTCCCAATATATCAAAATATGTCAAGGCTCCGTAAACAACGGGATTTTCCAAAAGACATCAAAATTTTCACAAAGCAGCGGAACTCAAAAGGCATAATCCAAAGTTTTTATTATATGGAAAGATAATTAAAATAACTCAAATAAAACATAGTTTAACTCAAAGACCCCAACCCGGTGTTACACTATTAGAGCAAGACCCTCTAAGTTAACCGAAAGGCTAACAACTCGAAACTTCAAAAGCCCTCAACGGCATCCACGGCTAAACCTAGTCATCTGCACGTTACTCACGAGGAGGCAACATTCAAACAGGCAGGGTGAGTAAAATGATTCATAATAATCAATGTAGAAAGTCAACATATAAAATGGCGTCATAGTCATGTTCAACATCATCATATTCATCAATAGGCATCAAAGGCCATAACGTCATAAATTATTCCAAATCACTCATAGATGCAAGTGCAACAAGACTCAATGCATGTGGTACCAATCATCACAGCGCGATGGACACTGGGCCATCAACCCTCTATAGATCCCCATCAATAGGATCGATTCTACTAGAGAACCAGAGCACATCAAAATATTTCACATCCACACAATGGGATTGAAGCCAAAGTAATCAAGGTCCTGAACCGAAGTCCAGATGCACATGAATGCATGATGCACACGTCAATAATAATCCTCATAATAACAGCATAGGTTCATCATCATTAATCATAGTCATCATCATCACAATCATCATCATATCTCATGTCATCATAGAATTCATCAAAACTCATGGTAATATCATTATAATTTATCAATCATTACATCATAAGATTCATCATATAATCATGTACACATCACATAGAATTCATAGTCATACTCATGTTAATTCGTCAAAGAAATCACATAATCAAAACATCAAGGCATCGCTGCACAAAATCAGCATTCGTGAAACTCTGCTACGTTCGATGGCACGTTCGCTAGGCGAGTTTCTTTGATGTGCGAAGGATTCTTCGCTAGGCGAGTCTAGGAACGAAATTGTTCGTTGTGCGAAGCATTCTTCGCTAGGCGAACAACGCGATGACAGCAAACTGCTGTTACGCACCAGAACCTAAAACCAACCAAAAATCCTCATGATTCACTTCCCCAATGCCCCCAAAACATCCCTAAATCATCCCTAAGGTCTTATGGCGATAAAGGCACAAAACCTACGGTTTATTAAGCTAATCCTGTTTCATATTTACACCCTAAATCACAAATTTTCCTACAATTACCCATACTCATTAGAATTTCCCACTATCTAATATTCCTGCAAGGTTAGACAAATGTCAAATCAGAGTTTTGGCCACAAAGACCTAATTTTCCTTTTACCCCAATGAATTCTCATGGTTAACATCACAATAATAATTTAGGCCACGAAGGCCAAAATCCCTTTTCCTCATAATTCGCCTTAAAACCCTTAAACCCTTAAATCGACCTTAAATACATTGAATGTACATATTAAAAACTATGAAGGTAATACTCCTCATACCTTAATTATCGATTCAAAGTCTTCTCAAATCTTTCAGGGAACCCTTCGAAGCTTTTACCTCCAATTCTCCCTCCTCGGAGCTCTGGCCTTAATTCTTTTCACGGTCTAACAAAATGAATCATAATCCCCTCTCAATTTTCTTTTTGTTAAACCTAGCATTGGGCCTCAAAATTGAGTTTTCCCATAACACTTTCACTAACTCCTCTTAATTGTCCAAATTTCCCTTATTCAACTTATATTTATTTTAATTAATAATAAGACTAATATATTCATATTATATACTATTAATTAAATGAATAACCTAAAAATGCACAATTCTCAATAATCCACAAAACCACCGAAAATCACCAAAACGCAAATATTCTTATTTAAATAAATTAAATAAATATTTCAATTAAAATTTAGAGTATTACAAACTTCAACTTGGGCTTAACAAGTATTATGTGAACCCTCATATTCAAACCACATATCTTTATTTTCTTGTAACGTCCATGATGCACTTGTATTTAAATTAAATTAGACTGATGATATATGACTTTGAACACCATTTTAATCCAAATTTCATCCAACATGCCTTTTTCTTAAATTGAATTTTATTCAAAACCAAATTTTCAACACTTTTGGATCTTCACTTGAAAATGAAATCACTAAGTTAAATCATTGACAAATGAAGGAAAAACCTAAATCCACCTTGAATCCAAGCCTCAAACTCATGAATCCACCATTGGATGAGAAACAAATATATTGAATTCGAAAGATAACGACTTGTCACATAGATACCAATACATTGCATAAAATCCTAATTCAAATAAACCAATCGTTGATAAAGCACTTATCCTAATAACAACCTAATAACCTAATCCATACACAACTGATATGTCTTGTCGCACAAACCTTAATTAAAGCTTTAAGCACACACCACTTGACCTAAATGAAACTCACATGAGCCTTAACTTAATACAATTCAACCTTGCGAAACCTTGAGTTTGGATCATGAGCATAAACATACTTTTTTTGATTTTTTTTTAATAATGCTAGTGGGTGAATGTACAAATGAAAGCTATACACAAATAAAACAAATTTGAAGTATGACAAAATCCATCATCATCATCCGTTTGCATTACTTTATAGATTTTTAAAATCAAAATCAAAATTTTTCTCACATCCAACATCTATAATTAACTGAAAGTGTAAAATTCTTTTACACTCGAAGTACATTTCAATTAAATTTTAAAAAAAAAAACTATCATATCGAAACTTAATTGAGGGATGTCTTGGCCATACTCTATACTACTAATGAACTCATGTATCATGTTCATTTCACATGAATATAAAACAAAAAACTCAGCATAGGTTTCAATTAAATGTGAAAAATAATTTAAAGACTCAGAAAATAAGCAAATGCTGCAATTTATACATCACGAAAATAGCACGAGGCTAACAAAGGCTGGTATAACTTCACAAGGTTTAAAGAATTATATCTTCAAACTACAAAATCTCACAAGGAAATTTAAATAACTGGAGAACTTTTGACTGGTCCTGTAAAAAGATGTACATCACTTGTGGTCTGTAAATGTGTACAGGCCCTCTCCCCCAAAAACAATCATGCTATATATTGTCATTATTTGAATAAATATTACCAACCATGTTTTATCAACATGACCTAATATTACCAACAGATCTGTACCAGCATGATTTAACCTCTAATTTCCATTCATGAATCCTATTTTCCGCCCTTACTATAGCTGTCCTTTAAGGTGACGGTTCTATTAAAAACAAGTTTTTCTGGAGTAGAGTCCTGGTCGACCGTAAAATAGCCTGGAATTGCAAATACAAGGATCATATGTTAAGCCAAAAAAGGATGAAAAGGATTGAACTATGGAACCATAAGTTATCAAAGTACAGTACCTAATCTTTCAAACTGGAAACTGTCCCCAACTTTTGCATCCCGGAGAGAGGACAAACCAAATGCATTTGGAATTACCACTTTAGAATTAGGGTTAAGATCGCCAAGCCAATTGTCAAGTTCAGCAGGATTCTATTTAAGTGATTCAGATAAAAGGCACAGGGAAATATCATTAGGTACGAGGATATAAACTTGAACGAGTACTCAGACAGATAGATAACAAACCTCTGATAGGAACAGCCTGTCGAACAGCCTGACTTCGATCTTGAACGGATCAACTTCAGGAGAAGTTTGTGCAACCCAATGGAGAACACCCTATAAATAACAATTCCAATAGATCACTACCAATCTGATCTTACAAACTCTTGGAGATGTTAATTTAAAATAACACATATGACAAAGTTTGTAAACCTTAGGCTTTGTCTTCTTTGAAGGATCATACTCGGCCCGAATTTCAAGAATAGTCTCATTATCATCAGCTAGAATAACTTCAGAGCATTTTATAGGAAATGCATATCTGTGCAAACACCAAACATTTAAAACAAATGAACAAATAACTATTGATACAGCATTCATTCACTCCTTATACTGACCTGAGTATCACAGATTTACCAGGAGCAAGGCCATAATAATCTTTTGAATCTTGCATACGGAAATCTGTGCGTTCAATATATACAACATTGGAAAACGGAACCTGGTAACAAATAGATTGAAGAAAATCAGACACACAATAAAGCAAGGTTGCCAATATCATATCTAGTAAATAAGCTTAACTATATATTGAAGTAAATCTGATAGGAACTATTACTAGTTCAAATACAGTTTATATTCTCTACAGGCATCATGTCCATACTGGAGAATATCTAGTAAATAAGCTTAACTATATATTGAAGTAAATCTGATAGGAACTATTACTAGTTCAAATACAGTTTATATTCTCTACAGGCATCATGTCCATACTGGAGAAGCTCATTTACCATTCAACGCATTGTCGTCCCCAATACCACTCACCGGTACCACCAATAGACAATAGTAGAGTAAAATTAGTTTAATACAACATTTCCTAAAATTTGAGAACTCTAAAAATATCTGTATTCGCAAGCCCAATTACCTTGTAGAAAGCAGATGGATCATCAGCTTGAGCATCAGGCCATTTTTTTCCATCAACCTCGATTGTTGAGTTGGCTTCAAGATTAGTAATAACAACCTTAAAAGATAGAAAGCATCAGTCTATAGTTAGTTAAATAATATCCGTGGAAAGAATTCAAACAGAAAAAATACCTTGAGTGGATGTAGGACAGCCATTGTCCGAGGAGCTGTTTTGTTCATTTCTTCCCTAACATGATGTTCAAGGCGCCCCACGGATATCAAAGTGCCATCACTGCAGTAGAAGTTAGAGAAAAAAAGTTATTTAAATTATGTTCTACTGCAGTCACATGTCAAGCTTACTTCAATTTCAATGTAAAACTAGAATGTATCTTGGTGCGCATGAGGGACAACCAATGAACTGAGCTATACAAATACATCTTACAAACAAACAAAAAATACAGCCAAGGAAGAATAAGAGATGATGCAAACAGAACACGGCATCCATGGTGAAATAACAAGTTTTAAAAAGGCAACTCTACCTATTACAAGAACATTGATGATTCTATTAAATTTTACTTTAATATCATTATTTTATAATTACTATTATTATTTTGCTTAAACTAAACTGGCAAAGCTAATATCACTGCAGTTTTAGTGAAGCCATAAAAGGAACCTGAAGATAAGTTCTTGATACCATAATGCAGTTTCTACAACAAGAAAGTGGAGATAGAAACTGAATTGAACATTCTGATGACAATAACTGTTCATGATAATTGTATGATACAAGTATTTATATCTAGGTATAACAGCTAGACATTGCTGTAACTGAATGTTTACTGCTCCTCAAAGAAATGACAGCTAAGCTTAACTGTCTAAAACTTCTGCTAAATGTTTCATGGAATACGGACTGTGGTATTTTGTAAAGACATATGTGACTGTGTGAGAGGAAAATGTGTATTATAGATACTTTGATTATTTATGTTTGATTTTATCTACAAAATAGAAAGGAGAAGACGACGTCAAAATATCTTAATAGTTAACACTCTTCATATGGAGCAAAAATGAGGATAAGAACAATCTAGATATGAATTACAAAAGCAAAGTAATTCATGCTTCTAGCGCTTTTCTGGGTTAACAACTTAGAAGTAGTGTTCTTATAGAACTTGTTGCACTGACAAATAATGTATTGAAATTTTATATCCTACCTTCTAGTGATTCCAATTCCCCGGACAAAAGAATTGATTGCTGTTGAAGTCATGCCTCTACGCCGCAAACCAGATAATGTCATCAGGCGAGGATCATCCCATCCATCAACCCACTTTTCAGTAACCAGACGATTAAGCTTCAATGAAGAATAGTTCAAAATTAGGGACTGGAAATTATAGACAGTACAACATAGAAGCCAAACATATTAATACAACATCAAAAATTGTTGCCTTACCTTGCGCTTTGACATAACTGTGTTAGAAATGTTTAACCTCGAATACTCCCATACATAAGGTTGGTAAATACCTAATGCATGTAACAACCAATAGTATGAAGCACGGCGTGTCTCAAACTCAAGAGTACACAGCTGCATGAGACGTTGCTAATTAGAAAATATTTAAATAAACAAATGAGTTGTCACAATAACTATACAAAGTCATTTCCATAACTTTAATCAACACTGCTGGTAAACTATAATGATGATGCATCAAGAGTACACAGCTGCATGAGACGTTGCTAATTAGAAAATATTTAAATAAACAAATGAGTTGTCACAATAACTATACAAAGTCATTTCCATAACTTTAATCAACACTGCTGGTAAACTATAATGATGATGCATCAAGAAAATACACAGTATGTCACCTTAGTAAAGAAAAATGAATTGATTACCCTGGCAAGTCTAGCTCAAAAAACAAAACGAACCTAATAATCTTAACAATAGTTAGTGAACCGTTCGTTAAAACAGTCACCACAAAAATATGAACGTAAAACTAGAATCACTAGGTCAAGGAATTCAACCAAACTCCTATTTAATTGATCACCAACATAATCCAGCTTTAGATCACCAAACAGATTAGCAATACAAGACAAAAATACTAGAGCCAATATGCTGTAGAATATTGACGTACATAAACTACTATTCAAAAACCAATCCAAATTTCTCACATCACTTGAATTACACATGGCACACTTATAGCAACAAAACTCCAACGGCTTTAGTATATTGACAATATTGTGTACTACCCAAAACTGCACATAGTATTTGGGGGTTGATATAACTTAAAATTAAAAAATCATAAAATAAATATTGCTACAGGAAGAGAATTTAGCTGTCCAAGCTTCTTAAGCTCTATATTGAGATTTTCAAACATTATCAACTTTGCAAAGGATAAATAACTACAAAAACCATATCTTAAATTTTAACATAATACAGAGTAATAAAACTGCACAAAAGTTAGTAGATGAAACTTACTGAATGTGTGACATTCTCAAGTGAATCCACAATGCAGTGAGCATAATCATAACTTGGGTAGATACACCATTTGTCTCCAGCATGAGGGTGTGGAGTAAACTAAAGGCAGAAAGGAGTCACACCATAAGATACTACCATCTCATTGGAATTTTGTGAAATCAAACATATATAGGTGTCATCTTACCTTAATTCGGTATGCAATAAGGTCATACATATTGTAATTATCACTCTGCATGTCTTGCTTCATTCGAAGCGTGGCTTTTCCTTCTTCTATAAGACCGCTTCTCATATCTTCAAAAAGTTTCAATGATTCTGAAACTGGTCTGTCTCTCCAGGGACTGTTCAATTTCTTCTCCCTATATTCCTTTATTTCATCAGGTGTCTACAACCAAAACATGAACAACACTCATTTTATTACAACTAGTGCAAAGATTATAACTTATTGTAATCATCTCATCTCCATAGGTTACTCTACACTAATTATTCTATGTTAAATTATACATTCAACACAATCAAGATTCTCAAAGCCCGATTCAACTGCCAATTGCCAAAGTGTTCAGATTTGGTGCTTCAAATGACTCAGTTACAGTCAATACGTCTTATTAAACACACCAGCCACCATAATGGAAGAATCTATTGAAAATTTAATAGCATAAATGAACAATTGAGCATTCATTACATGTTTAGTTGGATACCAACCTGATGATCAACATAAGCACAACCCTTTCTTATGAGCTCCACAGCTAATTCATACAATTCTTGGAAATAATTACTTGTGTAAGTAATCTGCACAAATGTGGAGCTGTTAAACATCTAAAAACTAGGTTGGATTGGAACAACAAAACAGGTGCTAAAAACATACCTTGAATGGTTTCCAGCCCATCCACTGGACAATTTCTTCAATATGATCAATATACTCTTTCTTTTCTGCTTCAGGATTTGTATCATCATACCTGGAAGTGCCAAAAGCTATAAAACTTAGAGCAAAAATTGTATAATGAATGTCCAATCATACCAGGAAGTGCCAAAAGCTAATAAATATAAAATTAAAATATCTAGGGTATCCAAAATGCTGAATACACAAATAGACAATCATAAATGTTTCAGTCCCTCATCAACAACCTCTATCACTTTCAGCAGAAGAAACTCTGGTTCGTTAACAATATTATTAAATAAAAAGAATAAAAGAAATACACACCTCAGGTAGCAACCTCCATCTCTGTCTTTTGCCAGCCCAAAATCAATAAACATTGCCTGAGCAATAATTATTTATTTTTAAAATAATTATCACAGGGAAAAAACAACTATTTAGAAGTGCATATTACAATGGGGCATACAGCATACCTTGGCATGACCAATATGCAAATATCCATTTGGCTCAGGAGGGAATCGGGTCAAAACTTTCCCACCTGTTACTTTCAAGTGCTTCTCAAGAAGCGCCTTCGTATTGCAACATCTCAGAATAGTACCATCACTAAAAGGAACTTCAGTATGCACCTGAAATCAACACGATACTCGTGATGTGTGCAGATGCAAGCTAATTAAAACACAATTTCAATTTGAAGCACAAATACTGTTAGCAAGGAAATTCCATAATTTTGAAAACCATGCAAGAACAATATCCCGGGTCAGAAAGGTTCATTAAGTTTACTAGACAAACCAATGAGTGGAGAGACATGAATGTCATGAGCAAGCACGAGCCTTAGAGCCTCAGAATAGATCTGAAGTGGCTCCATACAAGATAAGCACTCTAACAGTGAATTCACAGCATGAATAGAACAGAATGAAGCTTCATTTAATTTGTAAAGTAAAAGAAACTAGATACCTTCAAATTTTCTTCTGGATTAGGGAATATCAAATATGGATTAAGATCTTCTTCAAGTGCCTTTTCAGGAGTAGCAACAGGTGCTGCTGAATCCTAAGAATCCAAGTGAAATTGCAATAACCAGTAAGCCGGGTGATAAAAAAAGTAACACCAATGAGGTAAACAACTGTAAACAAACTCACCTCTACTTTAGCAGGTTTCTCCTTCTTCTTTTTAGAAGGTTTTTCATTGTCAGCTGCTGTTTTGTCACCCAGTAGTTCATATAATTTTGCATCAACGAGTTGCTGTGACATGAAAAATGAAAACAACAAAACAAATATCAACAAGACATGTAATAATAAATTAACCATCCAACATACTACATTCATATCATAGCTATCACCTTCACAGCTTTTGCATCAGCCCATGGGAGTCTTTTCCGCACATGCCCAAGTAATTCACCAACTAGCAAGATAAAGATTAAGACATCAAAATTTCTTAATCCAAGCAGATTAGAAATTCAAACAAAAGCAAACAACATAATTATTGAATCCATTAGATGGGGAAAATTGAACAAATACCATTCGTTCGATAGCGTAGTTCCAGAATTGAAGACTTGTTCTCCTCAAAAACTTCATTAACAGCATGCTTGATATCTTCTGTTGAAACCTCAACACCTGCACATATATCATATTATATCATATATGCATAAAATTGAACTCTAAAAGTTGCAACACAACAGAACTCCAGAACTAAAAGTTGATGCCCAAACTAAGTGAAATAAAGCTTGACTCTCAAAACAAGACATAAGCTGTGGAAGTTTAACTTAGTGAACATAAACACAAATGAATCGACATAAAGGCTAAATTACCAACCAACCTAAGTATTGAACATTAAGGTCATTTTCATATCATAATGAAAACTCTTTCTACAATAGCCAAACCACACCAGAAGCTTAAGATCAATTTTATGTAAAAAATATAAATAAAATAAAATAACTGAAGTTATATCTATCATACCAACACCACATGCTTCTTCGAATTTATTCAAATCAAGGTTCTCAATTCCGGTAGTAGCAAGAAAAGATAGTGCCGCATCTAACTGTGCCGTTGTTTTCACCTGCAATGATAATCCATGTGAGAAAGATAATAATTCCAATGTAAAAATTCACCCAAATCAATAGACAAGTAAAAGATAATACTCAGTCATACAAGAACACTAAATAAACTGTTACTATTAATATCATGTACATGACAATCCTACTACATAAAAAGACAGCAAAACCAACAATTATATACCACACACCTTGGACGAAACTACATATTGCAGTAATGTTGGGCGATGCGGCAAAGCATTTCCAGGATACTTGGTTGCAACCTACAACATTCATTTATAGATCAATGGAGAGAACAATTTCAGCTATTAACAAACAAAAAATAATCAAAACCTTGAAGCATTTCAGCTCCTGATTGCTGCATGCAAAATGAAACATATAACTCACCGTATAAATAAGGTTTCCAACCGATCGGCTGCACCCGTCGGTAACACCAGCCTTAAAACAACAAAGAAACACAAAAAATAATCAAAACTTTAAAAGAAAGAGAGCACAAAATTAGAAAGAGAATAGAATTAGACAATCAATACCTCGTGGATAACAGCAGTGAGATTGGTAGTGACTTTGTTGTTGGCAATGGTGTTTCGAGCTGTGCGTTCATCTAAGCCGATCTTTAGAAAGAGATCAAGAGACTTCTCCTTCTCCGAGCTATCTTCCTTCGTAGGCATGTCCTTCTCACGGATTCCGATTGAAGCTGGATGAAAATTAGGGTTTTAAGAGTGTAAGAATCAGGCAGCGATGTTTTAATCACTGGTTTAACAACGGAAACAAAAACTTAATACACGGATTAACCCGATAATATATATAAATAAAGTAAAAAATATATAGTAATAAAATAACAATTCTATTCTAATTCTAATTCTAACGAAAATACAAATACAAATTGGTGTTGACATTAACACAAACAGAAAGTAAACAAGAAAAGGGAATCGCAGAGTTGAGGGAATCGCAGAGTTGAAGGAATCCCAACGTGGAATGCATGCAGAGTAGAATAAAGACGAAAAATGAATGGCAGAAGAAATCGTGTGAACCTTAGAGCGAAGCGAAGGTGGCGTTGCGGCGTAGCGGAGGGACGGCGTGCAGAAACGGAGACGCAACAGAGGAGCGTGCGAGCTGCGAAACAGTGAAAATGAAACAGATGAGAGTGCGAAGCAGGGAGGAAGTGAAGGCTGTGACCAGCGGAATTGCAGCGGCGGCGTTAACGGAAGTGAAAGGATTTGGGGTAGTGAGAAAGAACTAGTGTCGGGAAATAGAAATTACGTCAATATCTATTTTTTTATTTTTTTTTATTTTAAACAATGAATCATGCATTTTTTTAGGTATCATGTGAATTTTTTCATTATGTTTTAAGTTTTTAAAAATATATTTTCGGACGTCTCATTTATAATCACAACAAAGGTCATTTTAAATGAGACACGTGCATCTACTAAAGTTTATTTAAGAGATATATCTCTGAAATAATTTGGAAAAAAATAAATAAATTATTCAGTTTAGTGATCCGAGATATATATCTGGAAGTTTATGCGACAATTTGAATTTTTCTGTCACATTGCATGTCAGAATTTTTTGGAGATATATCTCCGAAAATATCTTATATAATTTCCAGTTGCATGATTAGTCTCTCATTGTTGTCATTCTTCATTTTCAACTTAAACTTTTACCTTAAAAACCATACATTTTCAATCTCATTTCTCACTCAAAATCTCCATCATTTTGGTTCAACATATCACAGGGAGCAAAAGAAAATTGAATTTTAGGTAAAGATTGTTCATTTTCATCTACATTGCCCACGTTAATCATGAAAGTTTGTTGAAAAAACCTACGCAGTGTCCGGAGATATATCTCTGGAACTTATGTATATGAACTTTTCTAGAGATACATCTCCGGAATATTTTTTTGTTCATATTTCAACCCCTTCTGCAGCAGTAGACTAATTAATATTTTGTTATTGTTTGTATTGTTTTCAATAGATATGGTGCACCCCGATATTTTTTCAAAACAAGTAATTTCTCCGAACGATGTTTCTCTAAATGCTCAAGAGGTTGTTGTGAAGGCAATAGATGTTGACAACGAATTTAATAATAAGAAAGAGTTGAAAATCGTGATAACATGTTTGAATGGATTCGTATGGAAGCGCCTAGACTTTAATTTGGTGTAGTAATCGGAAATTCAGATAATGGCTCGGATAGAAGAAGCGCATTTATGACTATGTTATGCGAAAGAAGCGAGAGTTATCGAACTCTTGTACGGAATTTAAAGAAAGACGACACAGATAGTAGAAAATGTGAGTGTTCGTTTAAGCTTCGTGGTTACATGTCGGCTAATAAAAAATGAAGATTTAATGTCATTTGTGGTTTGCATAACCATGAATTATGCTTAAAATTAGTCGGTCATTCTAGTGTGTGTCGGCTCATGCCGGAAGAGAAGGAATGTATTAGTGACATGACCTTGAATCTCGTTCAACTGAAAAATATACTTGCAACATTGAAACGCAAACAGACAATATATCAAATATCAAGCAAGTGTGTAACATTAGGTTCCTCACTGACAAGGCGATTAGGGGGATACAACTGAGATGCAACAACTGTTGAAACTGTTGGACGATAATAGTTATGTGTTCTGGTACCGAACTAGCGACGATGGAGTTACAGTTAAAGATATTTTTTGGACTCATTCGAATTCGATAAAGTTGTTCAACACGTTTCCGACAGTGTTCATACTTAATTTTACCTACAAGACCAACAAGTATAGACTTCTATTATTTGAGATGATTGGTGTTACCTGATCGGGTGTAAACAAACTAACTGCAAGTGCACAGCCTGTCATGTAGCTTTAAAAGATATCGATCCTACCGAGACCAATAGTCAAAGATTACTATTCCTAATTGTTATGGTGTTTAGCTAAGGCAAATGAAATAGTTTAAATGGAAGGAAATGAAATAAAGGGTTTAAATAAAACAGACAAATAATAATGTTGGAATGTAATTCACATCAATCAACAATACTTTAATCGTCTCTACTAAGATTACTTATGGGGCAATATTTTCACTTTGAAAAGAATCAATTTAAAAGGAACTGTCATTTTCATGTATTCAAAACCGAATTTAGTCTCTAACTAATGTCGTCCATTGTCACTTATGGAAAGTGTTTATCGCGTTAAAGTAGTAAACCTATTTTTAAGAAATTAAACTCTTAACTCAGTCGAAAAGTGATTTTTATTGGAAAGTTTAACTTAAAAGGGTTACAGGCTTTCGCTCAGGTAACCGGATCCTAAACCTATAAACGGCGCGCTTGTTGTATCCCAAAATTTGACCAACCATTTCTTGTACTTGGCTTATGTTTTCTTTTCATTTTTGCATTTCTGCATATCATAGCATTTGTTCTTGAGGCAGGGGATCGAGGTATTTTTGTGGCTCAGAGTTCTCTTTTAATACGAGAATCCAAACAGCGAGCATTAGGGGCTCCGACATTTATTTTGCCCAACGATCGAGCGACCGATTTTCTTTTGTTTTGCATGATAATTTTCAGCTCAGGAGACAACACTCAGGCTATCTCAAGCATTCTCACGGTTATAATATTCAAGGGCAAGTTTCATGGGCTGGATAGGACTCAGAATGAGTGAAAACGGGCAATTGTGCATGTTTCCCTCCAAAAGGCGCCAAAATTCAAATTTATGAGTGGTTAACCGATTAACCATAGCAAAATCAGAACAAATTCAAATTTTCAAAGGCGTTAACCGATTAACCAAAATGGTTAACCAAGGCAAATTTTGCTATGCACGTGAGTTTTTAAGAGCAGCCACTTTTGGGGCCCATTTTGTTCATTTGTGAATTTGATTTTACACCAGAAGAAGGATCTAGAACCACTTTGAATTTTTATTAGTTTTTAAAGTTAATTCAAATTCCTTCCAATTTTCATAACCACGCTACAAGCCATCATTCTACTCCTAACCTATAGCATATTTAAATGAATTTGCTCCAAACCTCACACATGAATCCTCATAATCTCATTTCATTTTCAGAATTCACTCTCACTCTTGGAATTCTCTCTCAACTTTCTCACTCCAAAACCTCCATTAGAGCTCTCACTTGAGTTCTTTGATTCTTCATTGGAATCATTGAATTCTATAGCTAAACCTCCATCCTTCATCCCTATTATCTTCAATTCTCCATTCAATTTTCGTTTAGATTTGGATCTGATCTTGGAAGCTAATTTAGAAGTGCTTATTTGGATCATTTTTGGTTGATTTTGGTTTATCTTCACTCCTACAACGAGAAAACACTTGGATCTTGAAGAATCCCTGGGTTTCTTGCTTGGATCTACTCATTTCAAGTGAATCAACACTCACCAAAGCAAATCTCCGCTTTGTAGGTTGGAAATTCTAGATCTGATTCTGTTTTTGAACTTATTTGCATAATCACCATGTAGATCTTCAAGTTTTGATTGATTTTGTTGCCTTTGATCTATGTGAATTGTGATCTCAATGTTTGAATGTGTTTATATGTTGTTGGATCACTGATATTTGGTGTTAAATTTGTACATAATTGATTACATGGTCATTTGGATGATTGCACATTGGATTAATTGTTGAAAGTGCTTTTGGATTGTTGTTTTTCTGCTTCTAGTATAGTGTTAATCGGTTGTTTTCAAGCATGTTTTGGTTGCCCCTCACTTTGAATCTTCATGGATTGATATGATGCATTTGTGTGGGTTGTTTTGTACATGTTTCACTATTCTTGATTGTTTAATCTTGATTCTTCGACGCGTGACGTTCGATTTCTACTTGAATGCATATTTTGTGGATGTTGTTCAAGTGATGAGTGTTTGTTTTCTTTACTTGAGTTTAAAGAATTTCTTGGTTGAGATGTGCTTGTGGTGGCTGCTGCCCCACACTTTTTTCCTCCCACTTTTATTTGATGATTGATGGTAATGGTAGTAGGAGCTTGCTTCTCCAATTTCATATCATCCTTGCATCTTTTGTGCTTGCATTTCATGTTTGCATTTTATCTTTCATTTCTTTCTATTTGTGATTGAATTGCTTGGTGTTTTCTTGGTCTTTTGCCATGATCCCTAAGGATTCCTAGTCCCTCCATTTAGGATGGGAGTAGGAGAGACATTAGGTGTTTAATCCAGGCATGCTAACATTAGGATAAATTCCCCTTTCAATCCCAACTTTAGGAGCACTTTGCATGATAACATTAGAGTTGTTTAGTATCCCCTTAGAGTTTGTGTCTTCTCTTCTCATCTCTTAACACCTTAAGACACCTAATAAAAGGATAATAAATGTTGTACGCTATAAGCCTTAAGTACTTGAGAAATGATGGTTGGGGGGCCACAGATAGAAATGATGGTTGTGCAGCAGACTTCTGACACACATCATGCTCTGGGATAGGTTCCACAGACAGAAGTGGAACAAGCATCTTTGTTGCAGCCTCAAGCATTTGATCACCTTCCTTTCTGAGCACACTCCTTATCACTTCCATGATTAAACCCACTTGAGTCTTCAACTGCTGATTCTCCTCTCTGAGTGTATTCTAATCCAAGCGCAACGATTGCATGTCCGCAATGAACTGCCCCATCTGGCTCTTGACTTCTCTCAGCTCTGCTTGGACTTGCTCCATGACTTTGCGGGAATTTCTGTGATCTAATTGTGTAACCTGCAACAAACT